TCCGGGATGGCACGTGTCCTATGCATCTCTGTGACCAGCATTTCTAAGGATGATAGGGGATAAGGTGAGGGTAAAATGGTGATAAAAATGGGGAAAGGGGGGGGAGGGGGTGGGGGGTTGAGGGTAATAGAATGCCGGCGAGGAAGGATGGGGAAGGGTTGGTGCATGTGAGAGAGATAGAGACCGGACAAGGGAGGCAAAAGTGAAAAGAAAGGGAACGACAAAGAGGAAGATATATTACTGGGTCGCGAGAGAGAGAGAGAGAGAGAGAGAGAGAGAGAGAGAGAGAGAGAGAGAGAGAGAGAGAGAGAGAGAGAGAGAGAGAGAGAGAGAGAGAGAGAGAGAAAATGAAGACTCAATGGATATTCTTCTAGGTACACAATTCCTCCCAGTAAATAGTTGAATAAACACCGTTGCTTCTAAGATTCAAAACAATGGTGGATAGGAAACCCTTACAGTTTAATGTAATACATGTCTGATAATTCTCACTGGTGGTTATATAACAAGGCGACAGATGATGGAGGTCAGCGAAAGGTCAGTTAAGGTCAGCAAAAAAGACTTGTTTATTTTTGTGAATGATGTGGTATATCCTGTCACTCACCTCTACCAGCCATGCCCAGGACAGGGAGTGTGACTCTTCACCGCAAACGAATGCATTGCCAGAGATACGGAGAACAGTTAATATGATCCTTATATACAAGACAAGTGATACTGACATACATTTCGTACAAGGTCCCATACCACAATCATAGATACGATTTATGGAACACTGGGGCAAAAATATGCTCAGTATCTAGGCACCGACATGGCCTCAGCAAAAGTAGATTCTATTTAGAATCTACTTTTAAACTAATAGAAATAGAAACTAATCTATTAGATTTCAACAATAGAACAGAAGAATGCTGGGCTGTATTCCTTGAGTGTTAGTGTTTCATTGCGTCAAGTTCCTCTACACTTTATGACAAGGCTGGTGTATCTGGAATAGTAGAAGGGTTGGTGAAGGAATACCTCTCGCGTATGAAACAGGGTAGTGAGGAAAGAGATAATATCAGAGTCTTGGGGGGTGCCATTGGGCTCGGGTTAGATCCTATTATGTTCGTGATACACGAAAATGTTCTGAAAGTGTATATATGAAAATTCATATGCTTGTTTGTGAACGATACAACGCTGATGTTAGAATTGAGAAGGACAGCGAGAAGCTGCATACCGAGATGGGCTGAAGAATTAGTGAGGAAGAGGGTTACTAGATGTTTACCTGGACGTCAGCGGCGTATGCAAGGCTTGCAAATATCCGAGCTGTCTATAGAAACTTGTGTAAGGAATCATTCAGAGCCTTGTATACCTCAAGTGTCAGACGGCTCCAGCGTGGAGTCCATATCTAGTCAAACACAACACGAAATTGGAAAAACTTCAATGATATGCTACCAGACTAGTCCCACAGCTCAGAGGTATGAGCTATGAGGGAACCCTACGGGAAATAAAACTCACGACACTGTAAGGCAAATGAGTTAGGGGAGACATGATGACCACCTACAAAATTCTCAGAGGAATTGACTGAGTAGATAAAGACTATTTAACACGGGTGGTATATGGACAAGGAGACACGGGTGGAAACTGAGTACCCAAATGAGCAAAAAATACGTTATAATTTGTTTTCAGAGTAATTCATTGGAATGTACTAGGAAGTGATATGTGGAGGGAGACTCCATACACAGTTTCAAATGTAGATTTGATAGAGCCCAGTAGGCTCAGGAACCTGTACACCTGTTGATTGACAGTTGACAGGCGGGACCAAAGATCCAAAGCTCAACCTCCGCAAACACAACTAGGTGAGTACAACTATGCGATTACACACACACACACACACACACACACACACACACACACACACACACACACACACACACACACCCACCTCCTCCAGTGTTTCTGTAATTGAAAAAGGAAATTGGATGCGCTGAGGAGAAAAATGTGTTTGAAAAAAAAAGGGGAAGGATTGTCACCCTTGGCTAGGTGAGGCTCCCCAGGTAGGAGAGAAGTGGACGGGCAGTTAGAGGGAGGGAGGAGAGGGATGGAGGATGAGAGGGAGGGAGGGAGGAGGAGAGGAATGGAGGATGAGAGACAAATACACAGTCAAAAGAATATTTTTAAATGATCTACTAGTCTTATCATTATTATCATTTCAAAATACATTGCATGGTATTCCTGTCAACGACACTGGTCTGTAATATATCGTCGTCTTCATATCCCCTTTTTCTTGTATATTGGGGGACCACATTTGCCATTTTCTATCTGCATGGCAGCACATCCGTCGCTTGTGAATCATTTAAGATCAATTCAATAACACTAAGGGCCTGTGCAGTCTCCTTCAACATCTATGGTGATCATTTGTCGTGTCCCGCAGCTTTAACTTTATGAGTTAGGAGGTTTTGACTGGGGTGTCAAAACCTCCTTGAGTGTGTGTTTCTATTTTGTTGATAATCTTCTATAAAAATTTTCTCACGTGCCAATGGAGAATGAAATGACTGGAAGGATATTTAAAGGAAAATAAGCGTATTTTATTTGCAGTGAGACTTTTGTTCCTGCATAAATTATTACATATTTTATATCAGGCCTATACGTGGTTCTTTTTTTTTTTGCAAGGTTATTCCTTCGCTGGCCCTAAGCCTTTGGCTGGCCCACTAATTTTCTTCTATATTTAATCCTGACAAAGGTCATCACTAAATACATTGTCTTACACGAATATATAGATGGAAATACTATAATATAATAATATTGCGAGATTTTTCAGCCAGTCAGAAGTTTCAGGAATGGAAGTGCAGAATTTCAGAACGTCATATTAAAGAAATTTCTGCGTTAATCCAGTCGTGTTTAATATTATATAATTAAACTAAGGTCAAGACATTTTTACCTCCAAACTTGGTTGTTTTGTGAATGAATTATTTGGGTGATAAAATTATCCAAATCATTCTACTTAAAATTAGACAAAAAAGTTGATCAGTAGTTGAATAAGTGGTCTAAAATGTCATTTGTAGACTATGAATGTCTGCTTCATCAGGCCTTTCAAGATCTGTAATGTGTGGTTTTACATTTGTGAAATATTTAAAATTGCCGCTTTCAACATCACGTTTAAAATGTTCAGTTTGGTTTTAGACACATTTGTTATTAATCATAACAACAAGCGTTTGGCCAGATCCTTGTAGTTTGGTGTTCGTGTCATTTAAATATAAGAAGAAATCTGTCAAAAAAAATTTCGACAAATCCTTAGAGACTTAGATAATTCTTCACAGGAATTTTTATAAATCGTCAAACACACGTAAATTTCATCCAAACACTCAACAAATCGTTTAGCGACTCTAGTAAGCCAACGTACATTAGTCCTGTGAACACACAACTCGCTCAGTAAATTCTGAAATTTAATTTTTTTAAAGCACTCGTAGAAACAGAATTAACTAAGATGATGACACCTTTCATCACTTCAAGTTCCTTACAAGACCAGCTTCGCACACAAAGCCACCTCGAGTATAATAGAGTGAAAGCCTACCAGTGGATGTGCAAAATATTTTGCACACACATTTACAGAACTTCCATGTTTACAAATAATTCTCGAGTGCAGCGTTCAGTTGTCACGGAGTTTGTTTTTTTCACAGGTCAACCAATCGATTAAACAATACGTTTGCTACGGCCTGACTTATTTCAGCCCCTGTGGTATGTTCAGGTAACGTCACCAAATTAACACGTTTTTCGCATATTTCATCAACAATACAAAAGATCAATAATGAGGAGTCAGCTCAACATCAATATTCTCATGATTTTAATAGAAAGACATTTACATGGACCAAAATCTGTATTGTTCTACTTTATTTCCATCTTCAATATTCTATCCTCTACTGTGATTCTGCTCATTAACAAATCCTTAATGGCCTAAATAATTTCCCTGTCTGGAAATTAATTGCTGCCTGGCTTCACTTTCGACCAAAGCAAACACTATTATCTGCAATTTGATTCAGCTCCATCAATGAACATTTGGACAAAATTGCAACATTTTTTTGTGTGTTATCGTCTGCATGTCTAAGACGTTAGACATGAGATGTCTTCTGTTCTCAGACGGACCATCCACCAATCACGTGGTCGGTTTGTTAGGGTTTATCTAGTTGTCTGTGCTGGCGATCCCTTCAACAGACCTGTCTAAACCGTCAATGAGTCATTGACAGCTTAGACAGGTATGGCCCACTGCTATACCTGTCAAAGTATGACGCAGTGGGCCATACCGTGACGCAGTGCCAAGTTCGTATTGGGGAGGTTATTGACAATGACCTCGTGCCAAGACGACATTGGCACTGCCCCGCGGTTCAGTCCCCGAACGAATACTGACCAACCATTGCTGGCTCACCAGGAAGCTTGACCAACCATTGCTGGCTCACCAGGAAGCTTGACCAACCATTCCTGGCTCACCAGGAAGCTTGACCAACCATTGCTGGCTCACCAGGAAGCTTGACCAACCATTGCTGGCTCACCAGGAAGCTTGACCAACCATTGCTGGCTCACCAGGAAGCTTGACCAACCATTGCTGGCTCACCAGGAAGCTTGACCAACCATTGCTGGCTCACCAGGAAGCTTGACCAACCATTCCTGGCTCACCAGGAAGCTTGACCAACCATTCCTGGCTCACCAGGAAGCTTGACCAACCATTCCTGGCTCACCAGGAAGCTTGACCAACCATTCCTGGCTCACCAGGAAGCTTGACCAACCATTCCTGGCTCACCAGGAAGCTTGACCAACCCGTTCTCCTGAACGGTACGTCGCAATTGACATGCAATTTCCCTTTGGCCAATAACTAATGTACTAAAAATGGGAGCTGTCCGCGAAATTAACGTGATGTCCCGTTTTATCTTCGTTGTGACGTTCGGGCTATTTAGTACCACAATTTAGTGACGTTGGAAACCCTCGGGGGCAACATTTGCTGGACGTATACACGCCGGACCCTTTGTAGCCATAAATCACCATCCATCCTCCTCGACGTAATCTCTGTTGATGTTGTCAATCAGATGGTCCTCCTCGACGTAATCCCTGTTGACGTTGTCAATCAGATGGTCCTCCTCGACGTAATCCCTGTTGATGTTGTCAGTCAGATGGTCCTCCTCGACGTAATCCCTGTTGATGTTGTCAGTCAGATGGTCCTCCTCGACGTAATTCCTATTGACGTTGTCGATCAGATGGTCCTCCTCGACGTAATCCCTGTTGACGTTGTCAATCAGATGGTCCTCCTCGACGTATTCCCTGTTGACGTTGTCAATCAGAAGGTCCTCCTCGACGTAATTCCTGTTGACGTTGTCAATCAGATGGTCCTCCTCGACGTATTCCCTGTTGACGTTGTCAATCAGATGGTCCTCCTCGACGTAATCCCTGTTGATTTTGTCAGTCAGATGGTCCTCCTCGACGTAATCCCTGTTGACGTTGTCAATCAGATGGTCCTCCTCGACGTATTCCCTGTTGACGTTGTCAATCAGATGGTCCTCCTCGACGTAATCCCTGTTGATGTTGTCAATCAGATGGTCCTCCTCGACGTAATCCCTGTTGACGTTGTCGATCAGATGGTCCTCCTCGACGTAATCCCTGTTGATGTTGTCAATCAGATGGTCCTCCTCGACGTAATTCCTGTTGACGTTGTCAATCAGATGGTCCTCCTCGACGTAATCCCTGTTGACGTTGTCAATCAGATGGTCCTCCTCGACGTATTCCCTGTTGACGTTGTCAATCAGATGGTCCTCCTCGACGTAATTCCTGTTGACGTTGTCAATCAGATGGTCCTCCTCGACGTAATTCCTGTTGACGTTGTCAATCAGATGGTCCTCCTCGACGTAATCCCTGTTGACGTTGTCAATCAAATGGTCCTCCTCGACGTAATCCCTGTTGACGTTGTCAATCAGATGGTCCTCCTCGACGTATTCCCTGTTGACGTTGTCGATCAGATGGTCCTCCTCGACGTTGTAGCAAATTCCTGATTCTACTTTTTTTTTTTTTTTTTTTTTTTGAGATATATACAAGAGTTGTTACATTCTTGTACAGCCACTAGTACGCGTAGCGTTTCGGGCAAGTCCTTAATCCTATGGTCCCTGGAATACGATCCCCTGCCGCGAAGAATCGTTTTTTCATCCAAGTACACATTTTACTGTTGCGTTAAACAAAGGCTACAGTTAAGGAATTGTGCCCAGTAAATCCTCCCCGGCCAGGATACGAACCCATGACATAGCGCTCGCGGAACGCCAGGCGAGTGTCTTACCACTACACCACGGAGAATGCCAATAATTAATAATACACTCTAACGATAGAGTTCTCAGTCTATGAAGTGACGGTTATCGAATTAACACTTTCTTTAACTTTAGAACAATTACTGGATATCATAATGTGGCAATAATCGGGTTAATTTAAATAACTCTGAAACACAACGAGTCTTAAACAAGTTCCAAAAAGCTGCTTGTTCACATGATTCACCACTACGGTAGTTAGAGTACGCCGGAAAATGATGTACACCTGTTACATCCTGGGTTTGTTAAATCTCTTAAATATAGCTAAATAGAAGCTATATTTAAATATAAAAATAGAAGGAAAAGAGAACTTACCTCAAGATTCGTCAATTTCTGTCCCTCGAGGAGTAATCACTTACCTGTAATAGCATGAAAATTAATTAATCTTATGAAGTAAATTAATACTTTTTATACATTTCTATCCTCAAACGCAACAAATTACGAAATGATCACAATATATATAATGTGAGTGTATACAAGCAGCTAAAGGGAAGGAAATGCTTCCCAAAATTTTCTCAACATTTGCGGGTCGAGGGATTGCTTACCTTGTGGCGACGCGGGCGTTATGGTGCCTCGTGTAGTCAGGCTGGGGCAAGTGGTTGATGCAGCCTGCAACACTTGCCACATCTAGGAGAAGCGGCGTAAGCTGGCCTGGACCAGGTTTTATCAAGCACTTACGCAGTCACTTACGCAATGTGTACATCTTTCCTCACTTATGGCGGCTCTGTTTACAGTTATTAAACTGTTTATAAGATCCGAAGCACTGCAAGGTTGTTCAGGTCCTTGTCACAAAAGGAACGCATAATTAAAAGCGCCCTTCGAAACACACAATGACAAATCTCCTGTGAACAAACTGGTGGTTACACACCAACTGTTCACTAACATAACATTCAGTTCACGTAACTCACTCTGAACACATGTTTCTCTCACCCAGCAGTAGTGGTACGATTATAGTTACTTACACTCTACATATTTCCGTTACTCTCGCAACACCACCTTCACTAACGATAGTTAAAACCTTAATGATCTGACCCGCGTAAATGAACGATTACAACACAGTCTCCAACTATGCTGATCCAAGCGGCGACCGACCCCTAAAGATTCATTTATAAATCTGAATATATTTTGTATTTAAAATCCCTATTTTATTATATATAAATTAACATTATTATATATTACAATTCGATGTATAGTTAAGACTAAGAGGGCTAGGTGCTTAGGTTCTGTTGCCAATTATATGTATTTGTAGTTTGCGGATGACGCAGATACAGTTGTGCGATTCGAACAGATGCCTTCAGCGAAGCACTGTTCGTAAACGTTCGACCGTCATCAGTTGGGAGACTTGTGTACAGGTTTTCCTTAAGAAATACGGTGTTTAGAGGTTGTATTAACGAGCATTTGGCCACTGTTTATGAGGTCCGGCAGATGGATTGAAAGTTCTTTCTTATGGATCTTAAATTCGCTCACTAATAAACCCACTCGAAGCCCAGTGTTTCATAACTGTCTCAAAACAATGGCCCAATACTTTATTAATTTTAAAATTTCTCAACATACCTATCTAAATTCAACGCCTCACAATCAACAATTAAAGGCCAATGTTCATTCCTTGCTGCTGCCAAACACTGTGTTTATGAATGAAAAACACAGTTCGGAACACTTACACCTGATGACGTTAGGTATGCTTAAAACTTCGTGATTCAACATTTCGAACCTTTCTCGAACAGTGCTTCAATGAGGACCTATGTTCGAATCACAACGCAGAAAATGCTTCACCCACTTGCTAAAAATATAACAGCCTGTCCTCGTCTACAAACGCCAAAGGATTGTTTTTCCAGCCCCAAACCATCTGTTTATGAATGAAAAACACTTTACAAGCGACTCACAACTAATGACGTATGTAGTTTTCTCTAACAGTGCTTCATTCACGACCTCTGGTCTGACGACGAGTTGCTGTAAATGCTTTGGCCACGTACAGCAAGTACCAATAATGATCAACAGAATCTAACCTGACCCGTGTCTGATGAAGTCATGCTGATTTGGGAGGCTTACTGCTTGCGCGTTCCGGCGCAGGAGTTCCCGGATAAATATGCATAGTACTTGTGATTGATTTGTGTACTCTCTGTATGTTGTATTTGTTGCCTTGTCTGCTATATGTATGTTTTGTATATTTTTGGCTCGCCCCGTTTAGGCGTTTGTGTTTCGTGCATTACTGGTTTGTTTCCTATGTATGTTTTATATGTTGCGTTTCTCGTGTTGTTTCTAGTGCTGTATGTGTGTGTACTCACCTATTTGTACTCACCTATTTGTACTCACCTATTTGTACTCACCTATTTGTGCTTGCGGGAGTTGAGCTTCGGCTCTTTGGTCCCGCCTCTCAAGTGTCAATCAACTGGTGTACAGGTTCCTTAACCTATTGGGCTCTATCATATCTACACTTGAAACTGTGTATGGAGTCAGCCTCCACCGCATCACTTCCTAATGCATTCCATTTGTCAACCACTCTGACACTAAAAAAAATTCTTTCTAATATCTCTGTGGCTCATTTGGGCACTCAATTTCCACCTATCTCCTTTAGTGCGTGTGCCCCTTGTGTTGAATAGCCTGTCTTTAACTACCCTGTCAATTCCTCTGAGAATCTTGTCCGTAGTGATCATGTCCCCCCTAACTCTTCTGTCTTCCAGCGACGTGAGGTTTAATTCCCGTATTCTCTCCTCGTAGGTTATACCTCTCAGCCCGGGTACTAGTCTGGTGGCAAACCTTTCTGTGTGTGTGTGTGTGTGTGTGTGTGTGTGTGTGTGTGTGTGTGTGTGTGTGTGTGTGTGTGTGTGTGTGTGTGTGTGTGTGTGTGTGTGTGTGTGTGTGTGTGTGTACTCACCTAGTTGTGCTTGCTGGGGTTGAGCTTTGGCTCTTTGATCCCGCCTCTCAACCATCAATCAACTGGTGTACAGATTCCTGAGCCTACTGGGCTCTATCATATCTACATTTGAAACTGTGTATGGAGTCAGCCTCCACCACATCACTGCCTAATGTATTCCACCTGTTAACTACTCTGACACTGAAAAGTTCTTTCTAACATCCCTCAACGCGCGCGCGTGTGTGTGTGTGTGTGTGTGTGTGTGTGTGTGTGTGTGTGTGTGTGTGTGTGTGTGTGTGTGTATGTGTGTGTGTGTGCTTTCTGGTATCTGTGTTTCTGTGTGTTTTGTGTTTCTTTGCCGGTTCCTGCGTGTTCCGGAGTTTATTTTTATCCAAGTGTGTTTGGGGTGTACTCACCTAATTGTACTCACCTAATTGTGCTTGCGGGGGTTGAGCTCTGGCTCTTTGGTCCCGCCTCTCAACCGTCAATCAACTGGTTTACAGATTCCTGAGCCTATTGGGCTCTATCATATCTACATTTGAAACTGTGTATGGAGTCAGCCTCCACCACATCACTTCCTAATGCATTCCATTTACTAACTACTCTGACACTGAAAAAATTCTTTCTAACGTCTCTGTGGCTCATTTGGGTACTCAGCTTCCACCTGTGTGGAAGGTGTGTGTGTGGTTGTTGCATTGTTTCCCCGGTTCCTGTGTGTTCCGTTGTTTGTTCATGTTCTTGTTTGTATGTCTGGGTGTCATTTCATTATGTTCTTCCTGGTCCCTGCGTGTTCCGGTTATGCATTACTGTTTGTATTGGCTTTTTGCCCTTTCCACGTGGTCTTTCTGGCTGGATTTATCCCTCATACTGTGTAGTGTTCTTTTCCCGTGCTTCTTTGTTCTGTGTATATATATTTACTTTGTGTGTGTCTTTGTATTTCATGTGTTCTTTCAGTGTTTCCATGTTTTGTGCTTGATTGTATTTCAGTTTTGTGTTTCCTTTCTCTGATTGTCCTCGTGTTTTTGCCTTTATGTTCTCCACGGATCACTGCTTGTACTAATTTTGTTGTCAGACTGTTTTTGTTGTATTTATTGTGCTTTATCAATTAAAAGAAAAAACCTAGTCTAACCAAGGTTAGGTCTAACTACTCAGCACATTCTATTATAAAATAATGTTCTATAATATAATAAATATTTGAGAAAAAGGACAAATTTTGTATACGCAGCTCGTTGAAATTGATGAATGGGAGTTTGGGCTTGTTCGCCGCCTTGACGAGCCTAACCTGAGGACAGGTCGAATTACAAATAACTGGCAACAGAACCTAAGCACGTAACTTAACCTAACCTACGTCTAAATATGCACAATATGGTAATAAATAATATTATTAATTTAAATATGAGACAATTCCTATTTTGAATGAACAGCAGGCGAAAATTGATGAATATGTCTTCGGGGCCGGCTACTGGATGGAATGAACACAGCATGTGGACGAGTTGCTTAATTTTAACAACTTGGGAGAACGGTAGAGCGACGGTCTCGCTTCATTCAGGTCGGCGTTCAATCCCCGATAATCCAAGTGGTTGGGCACCATTCCTTTCCCCCCGTCCCATCCCAAATCCTTATCCTGACCCCCCTTTCCAGTGCTCTATAGTAGTCATGACTTGGCGCTTTCCCCTGGTAGTTCCCTTCCCAGTTTATAAATAAAAGACGGCCAAATTCTTCAAAAACAAACAATTACCAAGTTAATTATTCAGCAAGCGGTCGTATTCACCCTGCCATCGTGAGACTGCGAATACCTCAGTAAGATGTTTAACTTGGGGAGGAACCGGCACCTTGTGAGGAATTAATGAACATCGAGGACATCAATCTTCTTCACGTGAGAGATCTTACTAAGGACCTCATAAGGGGAGGTAGAAATAGCCTAAGCTACTCTATCCCTTTGAGATGTATTTTTTTCTTGTCTCAGTAAACATACTTAAACTTGAGGGACCTCATCGATGGCATTCTACCCAAGGGACGAGATTTTTTTACAGTCAGTTATGTGGATATCACGCTAAACGGCCTTTACATGATCTCTTACGTGTTGGTTGGCGAGTACTTCACATTTTGAAGAGTACAGGATGAGTACTAGTTTCCCTCCTTACTCCTGAATTACTCTGAGGTCCTCCAGTAGGGACTCTGGGGAAGCAGCCAGTTTTTTTCCTGAATTCCTGGGAAACCAGGGATAAAACGTCGACCTTACAAGAAGTGAAGCCGTTTTAATACCGATTATTCCAATAAAACAGGCCAATCAACTGAGAATTTATTTTATTTAACTTTAAGAAGAATCCAAGTAAAAAAGTCCCTATTTTTGTTTGAGTGGAAAATATAATAGATGCAAATAGATCTTAACCTGCAGATCATGTTAGAAAAAAATGTAGAGAAATAAGAAAACGATTGGAGAGTTTTCTTTCTCCAATCGAGAGATTAGAGAGAGAGCCAGTGTAGTCATGTAACTACCGTCATACATGAAGCAAACGAGAACACTGGATAATCATAAGCTTAACAGGTTTACGACCTCTAACAAGTCTCTCATCGACAGCATATTCAGCTTTCTTCAGCCCAAGAGTAGACGGACCTCGCCTTGGGAGTGATATCTGAAGCATTAGGAGCGTAAGACGGCCATTCTTTTCTTATATATGTTGACCTAGTTATATGCTAGAAGTAATATCAATTATTGTCGGAGTTAAGTTAGGACTGGACTTTATAAGTAAACAAAAATGAATTATTCGCC